CAAACAAACAGCCAAAAAACCCACCCCAAAGGTAGGGGCTGTAAAAGTTTCCTCTTCCCAGAAGGAAGGTGGAAGTGGGGTAACTCCCAAAAGCAAGCACCAGTCTCAACAGGATGGGGGGGGGGGGCTTTATATAGGATTTTGCATACAGTTTCAACAATAATCACAGGATTGCAGAAGTTCCAAACCATTCATACGTCAATAGCTTCAAACTTCAGTACAAGATATGCTTCCCCTGGTAACATTCCTCTGCTATCTTACAGAAACCACCAGCTGAGGACGTTCCCTCCCTGCACACACACACACACGTTCTTTTTCAAATTGTTCTTTCTGACAAAGAGGAGAAAATCCTTGACGGGGAAGATGGAGTAAGCCCAGGCTGGTACCTCAATCCTGCCAATCGCCAAGGGACAGCGGTGTAGTTTTGTTTCTGTTTTCAAACTATGTGGTGGGGGGGGCAAAAAACCCAAACCCATCTGGTGACATAATTAAAATTTACTTCCATGTGAATACAAAGGCTCCTTCTATTTATAGAAGAAACCAAATCCAGGCAAAGGAAACAGGAATTCAAGGAAGCATGGCTGGCTGGGGAATTCTGGGAGTTGAAGTCCACACAGCTTAAAGTTGCCAAGGTTGAGAAACACTGCACTAAACCGGAATTCTGGGAGTTGAAGTCCACACAGCTTAAAGTTGCCAAGGTTGAGAAACACTGCACTAAACCGGAATTCTGGGAGTTGAAGTCCACACAGCTTAAAGTTGCCAAGGTTGAGAAACACTGCACTAAACCATTGGATGAATTTATGCAGGCAGCTAAATGATATACATACTATACAATGCCTGGGTTCACACAGCAGGCTAAACTAAAAACACAACCATGTATTTTCTTGGAGGAAATCCCCACACACACAACAGGGCTTCCTTGCGAGTAGACGGCAATAGTACTACACTATCAGTTTGGCTTTCGGCATGGGGGAATGGGTGAAAACAGCCGGTTGCACACATTCCCAAAGGCTCGATGAGTTGGCACTAGAATGAGCAAAACGTAAGACGCCAACGGCTCAAAAGTGGGGGAAGGGACCAGGTCAGATAGTAGAGCAAAGCGGGGTCATTGTAAACGGCTGCCTTTCTCTGGTCTTACCTGATTATGTGGTCCCATCATTGCCGCACTGGGGTTGTGCAGAGGAGCTTGAGCATGTAGCGATGGCTGGGAGCCAGGTGGTCCCTTAGGGAAGAAGCAGAAATGCAATTATGGGGAGACGGGGGAGGCTTATTGCTCAAGACTCCTCCTGTTCCACAGTGATTTTTGCAGAAATCCAAGCAACAGGGATGCAAGCTTAAGCCTGGGACCACAGGAGAGGGAAAAGCATTAGGGATCACTCCCTAATGCAGTGTTGTCCAAACTTGGCCACTTTAAGATGAGTGGACTTCAACTCCCCGAAATTCCCCCCCCCACCAGGGGGGGTGGGGGAGTTTTGTGGGGTGTGGTAACTCATCTTTTAAATTGGAAAAATGTAGCAACCTCTTC